CTGTGGGGTGCAGGGGAGAGTCTGGCGAGGAACAAGTGCCTGCATCCACGTCCAGGCAGGTCACGTCGAGCCAGCTCTTCAGTGGGTGGATGCACACCGGCTAGGTACCTTGGCTTGGGGGGTGGGGACTGGTGAGCATCAGTGTGGGGCCGGGGGCTGGGTGCACTTACTTCCCCATATCGGGATGTCCCTGCTCTCTGCCTTCATCACGATGGACGACATGGTCATGGTCACAGGGATGGCATCGAAGTAGGAGGAGTGTGGGGCCAGGGTCAGGATGGCCGCCTCCGTGGGCGGGGCCTGCCGCCCCTTCACAGCCACGTGGTGGAAACCGCCGGCAAACCACATGGTCCGCATGATGGCCTTGAGCAGGAAGTCCACCACCCTGCAAGACAAGACCCCGCCCTGAGAGCCAGGCACAGGGGCAGCCAGGCCCCGGCCCTCGGCAACTGGGTGTCACTGCCGTAGCCGAGTCACGTGAATCCCAGAGCCACTGGGCAGCGCCCACAGGTGACCGTCCTTGGGGGAGGTCCAGTCTTACCGATATGTGCAGTCATCACCCAAATGGCCTCATGGGGGACGGGCAGTGTCCCCGCCTCGCCCATTTACTGTGGCCACCACACTGCTGGACGGCCTGCAGTCACAGAGCCGGGGCTTTGAGAGGAGAATGAGAGATGGCCCCGAGGCAGGAACTGTGAGCCACAGAGCTGGGGTGCCTGCCGGTCTGCCTGCACCCTAAGTCTCAGACACACAGACACCCAAGGGTCCCGGAAGCAGGCATCACGCTTGTTACATGCCGTTTCTGGATGCCATCAGACTGGGGAAGCAAAGTACAGACCCCCCCCTCTCGCCTGCTTCCTGCCGCGTGGGTGGCAGTGATCTGAAGGGTGGGCAGTTGGAAACCACCTGTAGCTCCTAGTGAGAGAGCCTGGACTTTCTACTCCCGTCAACAGTCTGGTCTCATAACCCCCCTAGGTGTTGCTATGAGCCAGCATTGACCTGACTACAGCCAGTTTGGGTTGTCGTGTTTCACACACGTGAGTAGGGAAGTGCTTCAGCCAGTGGGAGCCCGTTCACAGGGCTCTGTGAGGGTGGCAGGGCAGACCCTCGGCCCACACAAACCTCAGAGAGGGATCAGTCTTCACCGAGAATCAGTCTCATTTTGCCACTGTGCGGCAAGGGAGGAGATCAAACTGTAAGAAACCCTCTCTGGGATGAGAGGGCTGGGCAGTGAGCCGGCTGGTGGTTTCAGTGGCTGGAGAACAATCACAGCAAACCCCCACAGTGGGCCCTGGGCGGCCAGGCACAGCACCCTCCAGGCACCGCCTGCACAGGTAGAGTGTCACCAGATGGTAATTGGCTGCTGGGTGGCTACACAGATGCAGCAGGTGGAGCTGGGGCTTTACAAACTAGCCTGGGCCTTCTCCAGTCAGCCCCCCAAGTGCAGGAAGCTCTGCCGAAGGAGATGGACAAGAATGCCATTTAAGGCAAAGTGCTCACGTGTTCAGTGAGAATAGGGCTCCGTGCCACCGCGTGGGCAGCTGACTCATGGTGACGACCCTGCACAAGGGAACGAAACGCTGCCTGGCCCTGCCCCGTCCGCAGGATGAGCTGTGGCCCAGCCCACTGCAATCCACAGGCATTTCTCTGGCTGACTTCAGAAGCAGACAGATCACCAGACCATTCTTCCTAGTCTCTTAGCTGGGAATCGAATGGGGTCTCCTGCATGACTCCCTCCGACCCGGCACCAAGGAGCTGACTGTGACTCAACGATCTACAGGACCGAGAAGGGTACCTTGGGGTCTCGGAGGCTGTATATCTTGACAGGGACAGCCAGTCTCGTCTTTCTCCCACAGAGCACCCAGTGGTTTTGAACTGACAGCCTTGCAGTTAGCAGTCCAAGGTGTAGCCCACCACACCACCAGGGCTCCGGCAAGGTGAGTGATGATTCCACTATCGGGGCTCCACTGCCCTCAGGAAAGCAGCTGAACCCCAAGATGTGCCTCCTCCTTTGGGGAGA